CAAAATGTACAGATTCAAGAAATAACATAGTTCTCAAAGATGGAACTAACTTTAAGTGCTTGGTTGGTCAATAAAAGCAACGAGAAGACATCTGGGCTGTGTTCCATGAGGTTGGTGACAACTGGGGAGAAGAGGGGTGTCCTCCAGCCACAGGACACTGGGGCAAGGGTCCTACAGGCTGACACTGTGTGGGACACCTGCGTCCTTCAGCAGGGGCACGATCCCCTGGGAGCCAGGCACATACAGACGGTGAAGGAGCAGAACGATGCCCTTGGTCCTCTCAGTCAGCACTTCCGGGATCCCCTGAGCATCTTGTTAAAATGCAGATTCGGGTTCAGTGGGCCAGATCCAGCCCCCCTGAGCTTCCATTTTTCTATCGAGATCCCGGATGATGCTGAGGGCCCGTGGGCCACATGCGGAGCCATAGGGCCCAGGGTCATCTCGGTGCTCTCTCTCGTAGAGAAGGAGAGGACAGGAGTAGAGACGTGCCGCATAAGGAGGGGAACGCAGAGAAACATATAAGAAAGCAAAGGCTGAAGGAGACAGAGACGAAGGACAGGAGATTTGATAACATGGCCCTCCCATCAGGGTGGCCACTAGAGCCTGACACGGCTCCACCCACAGCCCAGAAGCTTTGGTCCCTAGTGTGGGGCAGATGGAGACCTTGGTGGCACCGGCTCTTCCGATGACCACAGGCGTGAGTTCTCAGACGGCCCTTTCGATCGCCTCCCCGGAGTGCTGAGCCCGCCCTTCAGGACGAGGAAATACATGCCAGGAGTGAGCCCCGGGACAGCGAGGGGCAGGGCTAGCTCCTGGGTACAGCCACGCCAGAGGGAGGCCACGAACCCCGTCCTTACGGAGTGGCTGGACTCCCAAGTCACCGAGACTGATTCAGTTCCCAAGGCCGGCCCGTTCCCGAGCCCCTCGTGGTAAGAGCGGCTCAGTGTGCCTAACGTCTGTGCGAAGAGTGTAGTCTACACTCAACACCGTCTTCCTTGCAGGGGTCTTAGAAGGCAGAGGGTGCCTCTGCGACCAGCCCCACATGAATACCCTGGCTGCTGAGCCTCTAATGAGTTTCCGCGGTTGGTGACACCTCACGTAGATTGCTAGAACTTTCTGGGGAGGAATTCAGCACGTTCTACAGGTGTCCACGCAGAGACGACTCATGGAAGCTCATGCCTGGTTTGCCTCGGACCGCGCCCCATGCACCTTTTTCCTTTGCTGATTTTGCTTTGTACCCTCTACAAATCACAGTTTTACAACCACACACTGGCCCTGTGGGTCCCCCAGCGAGTCATAGAACCTGAGGAGGGCCCTGGGGCTCTCCAGACGCCTTGGAGGAGAAGTCTTGCGCAGGAAAAAAAGGAAATGCAGCTCTTCTCACACCCCGCACAGAGGACCCAGCCACGTGTACCCGGACCTCAGACATGCAGAAACTCTGACGCAGCAGCTCTGTCTTGCATTAGGCCACGAGGTGTCTAGGAACTTGGTACAGTGGCCGTGCAAGACTAAGAAAATGGCAGTATTACTTCCGCTAATAAAGAGTGTCAACATTTCAAGGGGATTTTTTAGAATCTTACATTCACTCTCCGATTAATGTCAGTGACCCATAAGGAAAACCACACCCTGAAGAATGGGTCAAGCCTCAGGTAGGGTATGCGCTTTACTTATCGTTAAGAGCCGCTGGCTCTACGTGGGAGGGCCAGAGAGCGGCCCAACCAGCCTGAGCCTTTCCCAGAAACTGTAGGCACAATCTCATAATGCTCAGCTGGTGTGACTTCCTTCTGTCAGGGTCAACGGTATACAGTCAGGCCCAGAGCAGGAAATGAATCCATTTAGGCCTTGGTGATGGACAAAGAGGCAAGGATGAGGCGCCTTTCCCAACGGAGATCAAGATGCAGAAGAAATCATTGCAATGGAGCGTCCAAGACCCCTGAGCTGAGACCAAGGGCTTCAAGAGCTCAAGAGCGACGTCCTGCCGGAAGGGAAATTCCACACCCGCACGAATCTAGCAAACACCTCCCGACTTTCAGTCCCAAGCACCGTGAAGTTCCAGGGATGCAGAGGAGGAAGGCAGGCCTCCAGGTCCCCAAGAGTGGGAAGTAGGCCACCACACACGCTGTAGGTCTTTACAGCACGATGGCCGTTAGGACCCAGGGGTCCGCATCTGTCCTCACCTGCGTGGTCCAGGATCAATAGCGCCACTGTCTCTGCCTCTACTTCCCTGGGGCTCCTTGACACCAAGTGCCAGATGGTGATGCTTGGATATGGTTCCCCCTAGCTGCTCAGCTGCGGGAACTGTCACACCTTTCTCAGCCATGTACTGGGGCGGGATGGGGGCAAAACCATGAACCGTAGTTAATACAAGTAAGAATAGGTGTGCACTCAATTCTACACCTGCCGCCAAGTTTATCATACATGTTAACTAACTAGAATTCAAATACAAACTTGAAATTAGGGGCACCCACGTGGCTCAGTCAGTTAAGTGTCAGGCTCTTGATTTCCACTCAGGTCATGATCTCATATTTGTGAGTGTGAACCCTGTATTGGGCTCTGTGCTAACAGTGTGGAGCCTGCTTGGTATCCTCTCCTCCCAACTCTCTCTGCTCCCCCCCGATGGGTGTTCTCTCTCCCTCTCTCTCTCCCTCTCTCAAAATAAATAAATAAACTTAAAAAAACTTGAAATAAAAAATAGGTATGCATTAGCTATCAGTTACCTGATTTCAAAAAACAAGACTTAATTTTGAATAAAAGTTCTCTATATAAGTAGATGCTTCATTAAGCTTAACTGTTACTCATTCTTCTTTTCTGTAAGAGAGAGAGAGTGAAAGTGGGGGAGACGGCAGAGGGAGGGAGAGAGAAAGAGGGAGAGAGAGACAAAAAGGAGAGAATCTTAACAGAATCTGTCAGCACAGAGCCCGACACAGGGCTGAATCACATGACCTTGGGATCCTGACCTGAGCAGAAAACAAGAGTCAGATGCTCAACCGACTGAGCTCCCCAGGCCCCCCTAACTGTTATTCATTCTTAATTAATGTTTATCTTAACCCTGCATTGGACCTGGTGTTCTTAGAATTAACTCAACATCAATATCTACTTCTGCTCACACACTTGGCAACTGCTGGTTTGGGAAGTCAGCCAGCCCTAAAAGCCCAAATTTTCTCCTATTCTGCTTTTTTACCTCATGTTAACACAACTGTCTAGTTCTTAATTCAGTTTAAATCAACACATATTGATGAACTATTAAGAGGTCCAGAGATAAAAAATTAAATAGACCATAGTTTATGAAGCTATACTGAATAACAGAGTTCTAAGGAAGTGCAAACGGGAGCAATTTAGGGGCAAATGAGGGGAATATTATCATTTTCTTGCTGGTTAGTGTTATAGCTAAGTTATCTGCTAACAAGTGATGGCTTCTTAGCTGATACTTTTCCTCCTACCATAATGAGAAAAATTTTTAAGAATTACGTAATGTCCAGGGTGCCTGGGGGGCTCAGTCGGTTAAGTGTCCAACTTCAGCTCAGGTCATGATCTCACAGTTGGTGGGTTCGAGCCCCCCACATCAGGCTCTGCACTGACGGTGCAGAGCCTGGAGCCTGTCTTGTATTCTGTGCCTCCCTCTCTCTCTGCCCCTCCCCCATCACGGTCTGTCTCTCTCTCTCAAAATAAATAAATAAACAAATAAACATTAAAAAAAATTTTAAATACACATTTTAAAAATATATTAAAAAAAGAGTTACATAATATTCTTAGCCTAAATTAAATGGAAGCTAAACTGTATACTTTTTTTTATTGTGGGTAAAATAGTCACAATATAAAATTTACCACTTTGGACACTTTCAAGTGTGCGGTTCTACAGCATGAACATCCACACTGTTGTGTGCCCACCCCCTCCCTGCATCTCCAGAACTTTCCATCTTCTAAACTGAAACTCTGTCCCCACTCACCACTCACTCTCCATTCCTTGCTCTCCTGGCCCCTGGCGACCATCTAAACTGCATTTTCAATAATAAGAAAGGAAGGATTCCTTCTCCAGCTGACACATCTTCTGCCCCAGGCCCCCCATCAGCTGCCCCACCAGCCAAGTGCGAATGCACACAGAGCTTCTCATTCAGGACAGATCATGATTTACAGACACAAAATGCTACCTAGATAATAAAGTTCATATATTTTAATAGTCGAAAAGTCAGGCAAGGGGCACCTGGCTGGCTTAGAGTCAGCTGAGTGTCCACCTCTTGATCTCAGCTCAGGTCATGATCTCACGGTTTGTGAAACTGAGCCCCACATCGGGCTCTGCACTGACAGCATAGAGCCTGCTTGAGATTCTCTCTCTCTCTCTCTCTCTCTTCCTCTCCCTCCTTCTCTGCTCATGCATGCACACACTCTCTCTTAAAATATTTAAATGTTTTTTAAAAAGGCAAGAAAATTTGATTCTTCCAAAAGAAACACAATATGTAATCAGAGTCGAAACTAGGTCACTGATGTGAAATAATTATGATTCCGAAGATCCCAGAGATAGACCGCTCAGGAATCACAAGGGCCACACAAGTACACCATTTCCTGTTCTGTGCCCCAACATGTCCATAGGGAGACCGTCCATTACACATATTTTTAAATGTTTGGGGTCTTCCATAAACCTTGCTGAATCAGTGGACACAGAAGAATGCATTTACTTAACTGAACAGCGCCGAGGCGCTACCAGCTCCCGGGTTATGCAACACACAGTAGAGTAGGTTGTCTGTGGTTTATCCCTTAGATTTCACACTATGTTAAGGAGTGATGGGAAGGCATTTTCAATATTCCACTACACAAAATTGTTTCACTTTTACTTATTTCATAAATTATACATGGGCAGCACATTGTAAAATGCCACATGTGCCTTACAGTCGCTTGGAAAGACTTTTCGAGTAATTTTGGAGGCTCCATTTCTATACTTGATCTGACAGATTTGCAGCAACATGCAGGATTTGGCACAAGACGGCCTTCAGGGAGGAACGTACCGAGATGCTTTCTTCTCGCCGGTACTGCTTCCAGTTCCTCCCACCGTCACTGAACATGAGGACGTAGCCGGTCACCCAGTCCGAGCTCCCATATCCTCCCTGGGTGGCCACAGCTGTGACCTCCATTCTCTCTCCAAGGTCGATCTGCAGCCACTGGTATTTATCGGACACAAGTGGAGACCAGCCACCAGCCCCTTTTTGTGGAAACAGAAACAGGGAAAAAATGGTAAGGGAAAGAAATCTTTGAGATCTATATTATCCCGTAAGAAGGGGATCGTAAGTAAAAGTTACAAAAACCATAGTTTCAAATTCTGGAACATATAACTGCTCTTAATCACACACACACACACACACACACACACACACACACACACACACAAAACTACGGGTTAAGCAAATAGAAGAATCCTACATAAATCACTTGGGTTTTTGGCTCAAAACCCCTCATGCGCTGGTGGTTCCCACTAAGTGAAAGTGCTTAACGTGACAGGTGTATTGCTGAACCTACTGTATCAGCGCTCAGATCTGTGTCTTTACTGGCCTTGATGTATGACCTACCCTTGGCTGGACCTAAAGGAAAATGCTCAGACCATGGTAGAACTTGAAGAACTTAATTCTGGAATCCCAAGGCGAGGAAGTGTAGTATTAAATACTGGGATAAGGAAAGGGCAAGGGCACAACCTTACACTCAAGATGCTCACAGAATCATGCAAGAAACAGACGTTTCAAAGAACGATTCGAAATGCTACGTGGCAGGGGTGGAGGGAAAGGTTGCTCTGTGCAGGGAGAGAGCCCTGAAAGGCAGCAGGGAGGTAAAGGGAGAGCCCAGAGTGAGTGACAGGCAAGGACCGTCTCTGGTTTTGAGACAACAGGTGCAGAGCAGAAATCACTGGCTTGGTTTTGTCCTGTGCTGATGAGAAACAGAAAATCAGAGGCACCCGAAGGCGTGGTGCTGCCCTATTTGGGGCTTCCAGTTGAACAGAAACATGAGTTTGGAATTTGGATTTAGAGGTCATGTGGAGTTTTCTTGATTTTAAATGAATGTGCGAAATAAAATTGGGAAGCAGGTTTGAAACGCCTTCTGGAATTCATATTTTGCTACTTATCCATGTCTAGAAAACACGTGTGATGCAAACCATCCCTAATATGACAAAAGTGGTTTTCTTTTCATTTCCCCCACTGCCCCGACGCCTAGCTTGAGGTCCTCGTAATAAGGTCTAATGCATGAGACAACACTTACTATCTTCTCATCAGGACCTCCGACTGACGTCCACACTCAGTTTCGGTAGAGCCACCAGGACCAGGTGTGTGTCCGGAGGGGTGTGACGTGGTCACACGACAGCTCGGAGGGGAACGGAAGGGGGGCTCTAGCATCAGGGTATGTGGGGGCGTCGCTAGGAGGTGAGCGCGTCCACCCCTTCACCGCGTCTTCCACCAGCAGCACTCGGTGTACGGCCTTCAGCAAAATCTATAGCTTCCACCTTCTTTAGGACCCAGATGCTTTGTAAGACTTGCCCGTTTTCCTGCAGTGAATCATCTTGCAAATATCCCACATTTTCCTCTCGATGTACCACAAGCGCAATGTCTTTCGCTTGGACTCAGAATCCTAAATATGCTGCGATTTCAGTTGTTCTGTAATGCACTTCTTAACTCTTTATTCTGAAATATTCTCCCATGGACAGTAAGGCTGCAAACGTGGTACAGAGGACTCCCGTCCGCTTTTTACCCAGGTTGCCCTCAAGTTAACATCTTACATGACCATGGGTCTTTTATCAAAACTAAGGTATTTACAGGGGCGCCTGAGGGGCTCAGTCAGTTAAGAGACTGACTCTTGATTTCAGCTCAGGTCATGATCTCATGGTTCACGGGATCTAGCCCCATGTCGGGCTCTGTGCTGACAGTGTGGAGCCTGCTTGGGATTCTCTCTCTGTCCCTTCCCAACTCGTGCTTGCTGCCTTCAAAATAAACAAATAGACATTAAAACTAAGATATCTACACGGGTACAGCAGCAATGACATGAACTTTATTTTGGTTTCCCCAGTTTCCCCCCTAACTCCCTGTGTCTGCACCAGCATCCTATTTAGCCACCGTGTCTCCTTCATGTCCTCCAACCTGGGACAGTTCCTCAGTCTTCCCTTGTCTCTGATGACAAGACTGGCTGTCACCCAGCACTCCTGTGGTTCTACTGCTAGGTGCGAGGGTCCCACTAATCGTTGAGAAATGGAAGTCCTTCCTGATTCTACAGATATTTTAAGTTTATTTATTCATTTTGTGTGTGTGCGTGTGTGTGTGTGTGTGTGTGTGTGTGTGTGTGAGAGAGAGAGAGAGAGAGAGCAGAGGAAGGGCAGAGAGAGAGAGGGAGAGAGAGAATCCCAATCTCTGTGCTAAGAGTGTGGAGCCTGACTTGGGGCTCCAACCCATGAGATCACGACCTGGGCCGAAAATAAGAGTCTGATGCTTAACCGACTGAGCCACCCCGGCGCCCCTCCTTCTGGATTCTGGCTGAGAGTGAGCTCACAGTCCTGGGAACTTACTCTGCCCTTGTGTGTGGTTGTATGATGGTCACAGAACTAAAGTGAAATCCTAGGGGTCGGCATTTAGCTGATCATTTTACCTTGGAGACTCCACACTGGGAATTCTCAATGAATCAGTTCAAACCTCCGAGAAACCGCTTACTGTCCTGCCTGCCAGCTCCAGCGGGTTGGGAGTGAAGTTCTAAAGAAGGTACTAACGATACCAGTTTTGCAGTTCGTAATCTTCCTGTGTCATTTTTAGTCTCTCTTGAAGCCAGGAAATGTCATGCGCGTGGTACTGCCCATGTAGAAGCGCACAAGGGAGCAAACATATCAGAAGTTTCCAGAATGTTGCCCTCCAGCCTGTCCCACATGCCAAGCAGCCTTCAACACCTACCGTTACCTACAGGAGACAGAGCCTGAGCACTGCAGGTGCTCCTGGTATGTACATTAGGCTCTCTGATTAACTACATCCTGGGCAGCTCACTTCACAGCGGACAGGGTCCCGGGTCACCCCCAGGTCACCCCGGGTGACGGCGTGGGCTGCCGTGCACTCCCTCCCGCGGGCACCGTGCACTGTCTTTCCATGGCCACCTGCCTCTCCCCCGCCTCAGCCCCTTACTGAATAAAGTGTCCCAATTCATACCACGGAACACATATCCAGAGGCCCCGACTTGCACACAGCAAGGGTCCAATGCCTGGATTGCAAAATAGCCTTCTAGCCCCTCGGGCACATGTGGGGAGGGGGGTGTCGGGGCTGTAAGGAGGACCCGGCCAGAAGAGGTGCTGTGCACCCAGTACTCTTCCTCCCTTACACTACAGTGCGCTGGGAGACAGGCATGGTCACCACGGGGTGTAACTTTCAGGTGAATGAGGGGCCACAGGCCGAGAGGGAAGAGCAGCAGAGTGACCCCCGGGGAGAAGGGCCGGCACTCAGACACCCCCTGATCTCCCCATTCAGAGATCCTGGAGCTTGACACGCTGAAGCCGGGGTCACAGCCCTGCAGATGTTGCCTGCCTATGTGGGCTCCGATCCCCTTCCAGGCCCCCTCGCCCAGTGCTTCCTGCATGCTGCCAGCAGCCTGAGCAGGGGTGGGGACGGGGAGAGGCAGGAGGTGGTGGGTGGCAAGTGGGGAGGGACATTTCCCAAAAAGCGCATCCCTAAGGGGAAAGTCACAGGCACCAAGCATGTTGCTCTTTCTGCGTAAAATAAACAAAATCCTACAGAGACTCTGTGTTTCCTTTTGCTGGGCTCACAAATATTCCTGACAGAGTTTTAAAGGAATGTTTCGGAGCTTCTGGGTGGCTCAGTCAGTTGAGTGTCCAACTTTGGCTCAGGTCATGATCTCACAGTTCGTGGGTTCGAGCTCCACGTTGGGCTCTGTGATGACAGCTCAGAGCCTGGAGCCTATTTCAGATTCTGTGTCTCCCTCTCTCTCTCTCAGAAATAAATAAAAACATTAAAAATAATAATAAAAAAAGAACGTTTACACTCGAGAAGCACTCAGATCTGAGTCAACCTGAGGCTTTTCAGTTCTTATTTGTTTGGAGCTCTGCATTGATAAGACTGGAGGAGGGGTCTGCTGACCTCCCCCCTGGAAGTAGAACCAGAATTGCCCAGCAAGCCCGTCACCACTGAACACGTCATCCGTCCCTCATTTACGACCAAATACAATGTGGCACTGAGCTCCCGCAGGTCCCGCAAACTCTCCATGTTGACAAGCGGTGCCAAGTGTGCATGTGTCCTAATTCCATGAAAGCATCACTCCAGAGGTCCCCAGAGTTATCCAGAACAGACAGGAGAGCAGTCGATCGTCGAGGCCAGTGGGAACAGCGGGCCCTCACTCTGCTGCGTCCACGCCGCCAGGAAGGGCAGGGGTGCAGGCACCGTGCACCACCCCCACCCCTCCCCAGGAATTTCCACTGCTTTTCTCAAGGCACTTCTCCTTTTTTAAGAATTAAATATGGTGCAGGATCATGTCAGCAGATGCAAGGATGAGATGCTCAGAAATAAAACCAAGAAGACTAAATTATCCGCCCGTTTGCTGCGGCTCAGTCAGCCAAATGCCTCTGGAAAAGAATTCCATTGAGGCTAAAACTTACATTTTCTTTAAGGATGTCGTACGGCTTAATTCATAACAATCTGTAAGCGCACTGTAAGCCTCAGATGAAGAGTCACGTAGAGATTACCTGTTCTGCCAAATAGGGTGCTCTAGTGAATGCGAGAAGGATGAGGCCCAAGCAAGCTCGGAGCCATGTAAATGTGCTGGCAGGCAGCACCTAGGGCTGGGGGCAAAGGAAGGCACTCGAACATGTCAGAGCAAAGCCTGCTCCACTGAATCTCCTTAGACGAAACGTGGCAACAAAGAGAGCCGAGCAGCAAGAATCGTGAGAATAGTGGGCCCCTGAATCACCACCACCCAGGCCACCCCTAGCCCGGGCAGGTGTCTGCAGAGCCACGGAGCCGCTGGCCACGGGGCCCACCGAGAGGCCCACCAGCCGCTGTCTCGGGCTCTGATCTTCCTGTCTCACAATAGACATGTGCAGTTCAGGACTCCCGGGTGCTTTGATTTTAACATGGCATCTAGGGACCATTAGGGATCCCGGGTCCCTCATGAAAGACTGCTAATGGGACCTTACCACACTGGCGGAAAGGAAGGTCATTTAGCAGGTGCACTTTC